CATCTGTCCCCCTATGATGGCCCAGGGGCCCGCGAGAGAGAGCCATGGCCGAGGGTGCTCTTACCGGAGGCCTTGGTACTAACAAGAACTGCTATGTTTATTGAGCACCTACTATGTTCCAGGCACCATTCTAGGCCCCAGGGGCTCAGCGGGGAATGCACCAGACAAAAGCACTGTCCTCATGGAGTTGACACTCAGTGGGAGGGGACAGAAAAGGAACAAGATAAATAAATAAATGAAATAATTTATTAGAAGAGGATGACCATTAAGCGGAAAAGTAAAACAGGGATGGGCTTCTTCCCTATTTTAAATAGGCTGCTCGGGAAGGCCTGGCTGAGAAGGTGACCCTGGGAGAGACCCGAACTCTGGGGTGAGGGCAAGGGCCTTGCAGGTATCCTGGGCAGTGCTCTAGGAGGAGGGAGCAGCCAAAGGCTGGTGGCAGGACACGCCCAGCATGTGAAAAAGAGCAAGAAGAGGCTGGGGTAGGGAGGAGAGGCTGTGGCCAGGGCCCCAGTAAAGACTGGAGGGTCTTGGGGCGCCTGGGTGGCTCAGTCGTTAAGCGTCTGCCTTCGGCTCAGGTCATGATCCCAGGGTCCTGGGATGGAGCCCCGCATAGGGCTCTCTCCTCAGGGGGAAGCCTGCTTTTCCCTCTCCCACTCCCCCCGCTTGTGTTCCCTCTCTCGCTGTGTCTCTCTCTGTCAAATAAATAAATAAAATCTTTACAAAAAAAATGACTGGAGGGTCTTACTGAGCACGATGGGGCCGAGGAGGGTTTGAGCAGAGGGGTCATGTGCTCTGACTCAGACTTGTGCTGCTGTGTTAGCCGACATGTAGGGGCAAGGGTGGGAGCCCCGGGACCCCTCGGGAGACTGTGGCAATAGGCCAGGTGAGAGATGATTGGGGCCCTGGCTGGGCTGGTGGCTGGGAGACATGGGTGGATTCTGGGTACATTGTGAAGGTGAGCGCACAGGACTCCTGGCAGACTGGGTATGAGGTGAGAGAGAGGAGTTGGCATGACTCCGAGGTTCTTGCCTGAGCCGCCAGAATGAAGACGCTACCTTCACCTGAAGCGGAGAAGATGCGAAGATGCTTGCGGAGGAGGCGGGG